TCAGGTGTAATAAAGAATTTACGTTCGAGATATTGATGTCGTAACGTTCCCGATAAAAATATTTTGATAAAAATATCGATTGAAACACTATCACTCGATCAAATAGCCCGTTCTGCTGACAATAGGGAAAGCTATGTGGATGCGGGTACTACGGGTAACAGATCCATACTAGCCCCCACTACAGCTTGACCGAAGACTTAACGTTCCTCTTCACGTATGTTTTGAAAACTTATCATCGATAATAATTATCGCTTCTTTAATGCTATTCATAGATATTAGTTTAAAACTGGTCACTGATTCATTTCTGTCAATCAAGCATAAAATTAATACGTCTTGAAATAATAGAGTTTAGTAGGTATACGGAAAGACTTAAAAGAAAATAAAATTAGTTAAATAAATTAAATGCGATAAAATAAATAGATTAAAATCGAGAATATTATATAGTAGCTAAAGGCACATTATCGGCTAACCTCAAAAAAAATTACAAAATCCGAAAATCCCTTTTGATTTAATTTCTCGTAAATTGCCATTATTATATCTACTTTTATTTCTAACATTGATGTATTGCCACAAGCTTACACTGCAATCTTCTAGATATTATTTGTATTAGTGTTGCACAATACTGTAGTTAACTTTCAAACAATACATTGTAGCTTGCATAAGTGCTACTAATGTGCATAAAAGATTATATCATATTTGAAACAATAAGTACACAGTAAACATTTTTCCTTAGTAAAAGTGCAAGTTGTTTAGTGGAACTCGCGTTGATTCATGCGCAAGTGTGACGACCCGTATGACCCTCATTACACCACCGACACTGCGCTACTTAATCTGAAATGTTCGTCCACTGTGCAGTCTTAAGATTCGGCGCGTTAAGTACTGGCGCTAGTTCGTTATTGTTACCCAGAAAGCTTAGAGTATTCGTAAACTAAACGCTTATATAAGTAAATGGCAGCAAAGCAGGTCCAAGTGATCAATTACGCTTATACCCTGGCGCAAGTACAAATGAGTATTACTTGCACAAGCGATTGCGCATCGAGTGCAACAGTCAAAAGGAAGCTGCATGATGCGGGAGTGAGGAAATTTTTAGGAAATTATATATTCATGAAAGGCGCCGAGCGTTGACGTTCGCTAACTGATCTTCATCGTAAATTTTATTTTATTTTGGTTATAGAAATTGCATTTAAAAAAATTTAATGTCTATTAAGCAGTTCACACATTATATCATAAAAGTTTCAAGGTAATTCACTCGTAATAAAGTACATAATTAGAGAGCTTGCTGTTTTACGTACGACGCATCAACATTTCGTCGCGGTCTATAATTAACGTCGTGTTCCCGAAAAGCGTGTATTTTGATTTTTCATCTAAATATCTCCGGTCAGTAGCCGCATCATATTTGTGATAGACTGACGTGGTACAGGACTCGATTCGCGCGCTCGACGTTTTAACGGTGTTTTTTTTAATCCATTTTATCGTACAGTTGTAACGTTCCGTTTTACGAAATAATTTCCCAACGTAAACAATGCTCTATTGTTTCATTAAAAATAACTAAAATACATTAGCGGTGAATTGATTAGTGTTACTTTTGAAATTCTGTGTGACAATAGAACAGAAAGCGCTTTTGAAGTGTACCGGCGCATGTCATTTTGTTCTTGTTACCCGCGAAAGTTTTACATCCAGCGTTTTGCGACCTCCGGTGATACCCGAGTATAATGTATAAAACTCAATGCAAGTTTTAATTTTATGCGATACTGTTTTGTTTGCGAAACAGTTTGGTTCGATGTTGCAATAAATATGTTAAAAGGCATCATTTATTGTTTTCTTTTGTTGGCGGTAGAGACCATAAAATATAATAAAATTTTACTTATTCTTGCCAAATATAATCAAAGTCTCCATGATGCCAACAATGTAGACTTGAATTTGAAACTTTCGTAATATTTGCAACTTATTTTTATATTTCCTCGTTCTTTATCTGTTTCGCATTTTAAAAGACTAGGTCTGGCAAGCGCCCAAATAGTGCTAGAACTTGCGTCATGTTGCGTGTCACGTAATTTTTGTTTATATTTATTTAACGACGAATATTTAAGACCTCATATTATTGCGTCACCAATAAAAGTTACTGATCACGTTCAATAATTATTGTCGCTCTTAAAATCGCCTCATGGGCCAGTATCTCTTTAAAATATATATTATATCGGAAACAGCATAAAGAGGTTATTGTTACAAATAATAATAGTGTGAGAGCGGATGTTCAGCTTGCACTTTTGATTACGCAACTAATCATTATCTGCAATAAACATCGTGTCGTATTATACCGTCACAATAGAGTAGTTACAATACGACCATACCGTGATAAATCTCGGTCATAATCACACATTAGTGTAACATGATGGACGTAACTTCATGGTAACGCCATCATAGGTTAGATATGCAAATCAACAGCAACACCTTTGCTTCTACTAAAAGAATTGCAGCAACGGACGGAATAACAACACTGATTAACGCTCGTAAAATGAATGCAACGGAATCTCCCGACGCGTCGCTTGTACTACTGAAACTTCAGTTTTTAGTTCTACCCTCACTTCTGTTTGTCTCATTTTATTTTCTAACCTCTGTCTCCGACTTATATGAATATGAGGTCTTGTAGTATCTCACTGTAAATAACTAACAGCCTAAACCTGTACGAAATTAAAACATGAAACTATTACTTTAATGCCGGTCACATACATACGGAATTCCGTTTCGTGACGAGACGTTAGTTAGAGACGTTAGTTAGCCATTGAGTCTAGACATTCTGCCAGCGAATAATGACGACGATTTTCTGATTGCTATTCCATTGTTACTGGGTACATCCCCTTATCATCTTAAGCTTGCAATATTATGTAAAATAATCTATCTATCCAGAGATATTTTATTAAATACGGATGTCTGGTAAACCCTTTCGACGAATTATTAAACAAAATAAGATGAAAACTTACGAATAGCTATACACATATAAGATTAAATGTAAAAACGTACATAAACACACCTACTCGCTTCGATCGTGGGACGAACACTGCGCGCGTTCCGTACGGAATTTACGAATGTGTGTTGTGACTCATACAAAATTCCGTTCGGCTTTTTTCCGTTCGGGATTCCGAACGCACAAGCGGTCATACGGAATCTCGAATCGGAGAAAATTCCGTACGGAAAATTACCGTACGTATGTGGCGCGTCATAGATTTTATATGGACTTGCTGCGTTCGGAATTCCGAATCGGAATATCGAAACGGAATCCCGAAACAGAATTCCGTATGTATGTGGCCGGTCTTAGAGAATTAAGCGCGCAACATGGCACAATATTACGAATAAACTCACACGAAACTCCATCGGTATATCAACCGTAGCTTACAGATGTACACAAAATAAATGATATAACATACTTGAAAATACTGGACGCTGTAATCCATTAAATTTAACTGTAAAAAAGGCCTGAAAAGGTTAATTAAATTTTGCTGTAAAATTGAAATTTACTAGTGGATCATAAAGATACAAAAGGCTTGTGGTCCGCTTGCGCGGTCTGTGCATCGTTGGTCTATTGTCTAGTGTTATCCATCGTGCATTGTTAGCATCAACAAACTACTGCGATATTTACGCCATTATGACACTTATTATGTATATTGTAATTTATTATGATAATTTTGCTTAAAAAAATATCGAAGATGGAATATAATATGTATATCGAACGTTTGTGCTTGCCAGAATACTTAATTATACGACAGTCACCAATTCCTAAAAATAATAAAATGAGATGTAAAAACTTTTTAATGAAGTTAATTTATTTAGCTATATAAAATATCAAAAGCTACCATTTGTTTTGTTTTTTTTTTTTGTTAATACAAAAGAATATTCAAATCTATTCCAATTACATAATTAGGTTAGAGCTATACAAAACCCAGAAACCTTACATTTTAGGTTTACATCCTGCGTTAACGTTATACTATACTAACTTCCTTACATATTTTAATACAAATTTACTTACACTAAATCCAATTAAAATCTAATATATTTGCATTCTTAATAATACTCGTATAACTAACTCTCTACTAAATAACGATTCAGTTTCAAGTCAATGACACCCTCATTATCTCAATGGAGTAGGTAGGGATGACTTTTAAGATTAGACAGCTTTAGAAAATAATTATTATAACGGATATCGCATCTTCCAGAGACGTGTCTGTATTATTTACCCGACGTTGATCATTGTGACTCAGCTTGATTCTATTATTATTAACATCGTCTACAGCTTTTTTGCTCCCATTAACAACGTTCAAGTCGGTTTCATACACAGTTTTCACATCATCCGTTATGGTTTGAGTGGATTTTCTTTGCTTGGTTATGTCGTTCACTCTAGTGGTACCAAAAGATCTGAGGTAGATCCTAATGAGAAACGGCAGATAGGTGAATATTACATTATTTATATCAATTACATGTGATCTTTAATACTACATTAATTCTAATTTGGAATTCATGTCGAATGCGACTTGCAAATTGACTTGTATGTACATGTGTATGTATGAATGTATTGGAATTTCGTAATTCAGTTTTCACCCTTTCTAGACGTCTGAATAATCTGGAATTTTGCAGACGTATTAAGAACACTATAACATGATAAAAGCGCGGTGTTTAAAGTTTTTTAAAGTCTAATATAAAGTAATTATAGATCAGGACCTAGAATTTTAATGTATCCTTTAATAAATTTTGCTTATACTCTTATCTGAGACTCTATCTATACTATCTCATATACTCTATCTATCTACTCTGAGACTATTGGGCTATTGTTTTCATAATTTTCTGTTATGACTACCAAAAATAAAATGTCCCCTTAATCCTTAGCTATACCTATCGCAGATACGACCGCGTGGACAGAAATAAACAAAGCATACAACATATGCTGCATTTCTCGCAATGCATCCAATGGTTCTTTTTTCAGCTTCTAATTCGGGATGTGGGCACGCGCCAGTCTCAGCGTGTTCAGCACATCGTGCGCTCTCGAGCATTCGAAAATTGAAATGATTCATTACTTTTTTGTTTAATTTATTCAGTGACAGTACGTTTTATCGGTAAATATAGTCTGTAAAACCTGTTTACTGCGTGGTGTTGTCGATTGAACCCAGTTTTGTGTATGTAATAATACAAGAATTTGTTTGCGTGTTTAATTAATAATTACGTGTTAAATAATTTTGTTTGATATTTATTTCCATGGTCGTGTTCCCTATATTAGTTATTTAAGTTAACAAATCTTGATATAAATAATTTAATATTGAAATGATGCTTTTGATAGAGCCCTACCATAGAGTCCTGTACCGGCCAGAGACAGTGTGTTCCAAATATAAAACGCAGAACTTTACGGTATTTAAATAAACTAAAAAGTTGAGTGCGGTGAATTAATACCTGTAAAAAATAACGGTGATAATTATAATTATTTATTAAAACAATGTCTGTATCCGTTAATGTGAATATATACCTATACAGTGGAAATCTAGATAGACTATAAAAGGAATAGTGTTTCGTAACTTTTTATGTTTATGCTCTGTGATAATATAAAATCTAAATAAAATCAAAATGGGAAAGAAGAAGAAACATAACGGCAAAAAGAGTGGCAACAGATTTTTTCGCTGGATGAGAAGGTATGATATATATTTATTATTAAAGATAAAGATAATTTAGTCTAGGATTAAAATAATATGTTTTCTAATTAACACAAATGTTCTGACTTCTGTTTATTTCGGTACTTAACAACATTCCTATACATATTTGTATTTTGCATGTGGTGTGGAAATAACGCACGAGTCTAAGTCTCAGTGGGGATATGTGGCGGTACGGCTTACAATTTTAGCGGGCGCGCTGTGGCCACTTGTACATCGTATCTGTTGTCATGCACGCTGAATACTACACGCCCTGCTGAACACTGAAGCCTTACACTAAGGTCTGAATGAAAATAGTTCGGCGGGGCGTGCGGCGTAGCGGTACGTGAGTGTGTGTGCGCGTTTGTGTGTATGCTTTGCTGCACGCTCTTTTATCTAACATAAATACTAAGCACCAACATCATATCAAAGTAAAATAAAAATAAAAATAATAAGGACAGTTGAATATTAGAAAACAAAGACTTGAATATTCGCAATATGATTTTAAAATGGCGATTTTACGCATAAAATTTGAATCAATTATCTTCTCGTTAATATGTTTATTTTAATAATGTATAAATAGCGTTTTAGTAATATACAATATAAGTATGTATATTTAATTATATTTTTAAGAAAATTTTGCTTATAAATTAAACAGCAATCATTAATTTTAAGAATAGGATAAATTTCTAAATATTTACTTTCGTTAATCTATACAAATAAATAAAATTGAAGTGTCTGTTTGTAATGTCAAAATTACAGCTTTTTACTAAATGCATATGAAAGTAAATACGGTACTTATAAGTAAAATACAGTTTTTAAATTTTTTGTCTGTCTGTTCCGGCTAATCTCCGAAACGGCTGGACTGATTTTGACGGGAGTTTCAAAGGCAGATAGCTGATGTCATAAGGAGTAACTTAGGCTACTTGTATTTTAGAAAAAGAATTAGAGTTCCACGCAAAAAAAATAAAAACCATAACACGCGAGCGAAGTCGCGAGGAACAGCTAGTTTTTAAATATAAAATGTACGATAAATACTTAGCGAAAAATGATGTTTACTCTCTGCCCAAGGCTAGAATTGTACTGTGGATCACACACGATCACGGTTCTAGTTTCTGTGATGTTAATGCTGTTAACCTATGCGGCTCTTACAGCTTCAGAGCTATGAACTCATAGCTCGCGGCCTGAAAAGCCGTAAGCTATAAAAAGGGGGGCGGGAGGGGGAAGAGATTATTTATTTTAGTGCAACGTTGCAGTAACGGGTGTACGGTGTGTACGCGGTGTTGAGGGGCGTGCGGCGCGCCCGTCTGCGGACTCGCTGCGTCCCATCCGTTGTTCACCTAACGGTGTTTGTGGCACTAGGTGAATGTGTAGTGTTTGAGTCTTTAAGTGTGAATGGTCGGCGACATTTCGGTCGTCGGCATTTGGCTGAACAGGGGGTTCGATTAGAACGTTGCGGGGCCTTCGGAGGATTAGCATAACGTTCGGAGTCAGAACGAAGGATCTCGGTAAGGAATCCCACTGCCCTTAAGCAAACCGTGTGTATCAAACAACATCGCGACACAAATACCGGCCAACACAGTCTGTTGGCGACAACGCAAGCCAAAACAAACCGAACTATGTACGATCAATACTTAGCGAAAAACGTTTTCTTCTTTTCTTTATTACAGCCTATCGAAAAGTCACTGCAGAACATAGGTCTCTCCCATAAATTGCCTCGTGGTGAGGAGAGGGAGATGTTTGAAAGGAGAAGTCTGTATAAGTTGTTGCGATTCCTCGGATTTGTCCAAATTTTTAGGGCATCCGTGAATCGTTCTGACATTGTTTTCTACTGAGCCCGTTTTCGAAGTTTGAAAGTTTCGACAACAAATAACAAAAATTTACAAATTTTTATGTACTGTGTATTCATGTTTACCAGTATCTAATATTACTCATCGTATTCATAATATAGCTCGCTTACCGGACTGGAAAAAGGGTGCAAGATGAGGGCGTATTTCGAAGTCTCAACTCCCACTGACGCTGCAAGCAGTAGCGTCTGCGATGAAATAATCTCCTGGTTGAATGTATCAAGCGGCTGAGAATTAGTTTGGTATCAAAAATAAAGCTAAAACGATACATTTTTTTTTTACCATGACAAATGTTATGTCAGTCAACCTGATGGCTAATGACTTCTGTATTAACATGGACGTCTAAAACTACCATTAAATGAAGAACATTACAACTGTACCGTCATCCTTGAGAGCTAAGATGGCTGGGTCTATTGTATACTATACATACGCACCCTGGCATTCCTGAGCGATAAGGAGACTGGCTGCTTTTTTTTTTTATAAGATAAGAGTGACAAACGAGCACACAGTACACCTTATGGTAATTGGTTGCTACGGCCCATAGACATCTACATCTATCCTCCATTACAAATCAAAATGCAAATGCGTCGTCACTCGTGAGGACTAAGAATGAATGCCTTGTTTCCAGTAAAAAGGGTCTCCGGTTCTCTACACTCACCACACGAAACACAGCAGCGTTAAGCTGCTATTTTACGCTGGTATTCTGTGAGAGCGTGGTCCTTCCCCGGTCGAGCAGACCCATTCTCGCTACAACTATACTACTAATATAGCTACAGCATGGCTCTGTCACGTAAAAATGCATACGTACAAATATATGAGAAATGTTTGTGTGTAGAGGCATGGTTTCATGGCAGCGATAAATATGCACCCTGAGGTATGTCAGATATGTCCAAAAATATATTAAGTCCTATTTCCGTATTGCTGTAATTTATTGAAGTGCTTTCTTTTTGTTTCACGGCAGTGGAAGGGTTGCGTTACGTATTTAAAATAAGTGTTCCCTTATACGTTATAAAAATATACTCAACATTTTCTTTTTTACCTGTTTATATTGTAATTACAATTTATTTCAATCCCTAGTTAAATTTAAAGTTACAAAGTTATAGACGTCCTACTGCTGGGCACAGGGGCCTCCTCTCATTTCTGAGAGGGTTTTAGGGCAAGGAAATGTTCGCCGCGCTGCCCCAATGCATGTTGGCGAACTTCACATGTCTTCTAAATATTTTTTTTATTTCTCAGATATGCAGGTTTCCTCACGATGTTGTCTTTCACCGCCGAGCACGTGGTAAATCAGCAATTAAAATTGCAATTAACAATTTCATAGGTGCCGGCGGACATTGGACCCGGGTTGTTCGCGTACTGTGAAACTTACAGCGAGCGCTAACTATCTAAACTGCCCCTGCTCTATCCCTAGTAAAGTGACGTAAATAAGTCAAAAGGGGCAATAAAGCGTCCAATAGGCTCGTACAAATATATTCTACCCATTATAAGAGAGGTCTATGTGCACCAATGCAATGTTTACAGGCAATGAGGAAAAGAAATCGATCACTGTTGACCCACAAAATGATCCTTTAATATAACCCTATATTTTTAACTATATAACAGTGACCTGTGTCAATATTTCTATTATACCAGTGTAAAAAACAGTGAAAACAATTTACCGTTATTAGTTTAGTTTACTCTTTTCGGTATCATCATCATCATCATTATTACAGCCCTTCACAAGTCCACTGATGAACATAGGCCTCCCCCAAGGAATGCTACAAAGCACGGTCCTGAGACATCTGCATACATCGACTTCCTGCATGTCTTACCAGATCGTCACTCCATCTAGTGGAGGGACGCCCTACACTTCGTCCGCCGGTACCAGGCTGCCACTCGAGAACCTTTTCCCCCATCGGTTGTAGGTTCTTTGAGCTATATGGCCGGCCCATTGCCACTTTAGCTTACTAATGCTTTGGGCTATGTCGGTAACTCTGGTTCTACTGCGGATATCCTAATTTCTAAGTTTATCACGCAGAGAAACCCCGAGAATAGCCCTCTCCATAGCTTGCTGAGCGACCCTGAGCTTCCTCATACGGCAAGCAGTAAAGGACCACGTTTCCATAGGTCATCACTGGCAACACGCACTGGTTGTACAGTCTAGTTTTTAAGTTTTGATGTATACCTGACGAGAAGATATGCCGTAATTTCCCAAACACTGCCCAGCCGAGTTGAATCCGTCGATTGACCTCTCGGTCGAAGTTGGACTTACCTAGTCGGACTATTTGTCCCAGGTAAACATACTCGTCAACAACTTTGAGCTTAGTGTCCCCAACAACTACCGGCATAGGTGTGACACGGAAGTTACACATGAGTTTTGTTTTGTCCATGATTATCTTAAGACCTATCCGTTGAGAGGCACAATTGAGGTCATTGAGCATAGTGCTTAGGTCCTCCAGCGATTCTGCCATAAGGACTATATCGACGGCAAATCGAAGGTGAGTGATGTACTCGCCACTGACGTTACTACCGTATGCTTTCCAGTTCAGTAGTTTGAAAACGTCGTCCAATGTAGCAGCAAAGAGTTTCGGGGAAACAACGTCACCCTGTTTTACACCTCTCTACAATTGAATAGGTTTCGTACTCTGGTTCTGTACTCTGATAGCCATCGTAGCCTTACGTAGTACAAACACTTCAGTACTTCGATATACCGACAGTCAACTTGGCACCGCTGAAGGGACTGCAGCACCGATCAAATTTCGATGGAATCAAAGGCTTTCTCATAGTACACATACGCCAGACATAGTGGCAAATTGTACTCTTCGGACTTCTGTACAATTTGCCGAAGGGTATGTATGTGGTCTATGGTGCTAAATCCCTTTCGGAAACCGGCTTGTTCGGGAGGCTGGAAGTCGTCAAGTCTGCGCGCGAGACGATTCGTAATGACTCGAAAACAGCACATAGACGCGGCTCAGAAGGGAAATCGGTCTGTAGTTCTTCAAGACAGCGTTGTCGCCTTTCTTGAAGAACAAGACCACCGCACTTCTGCTCCACGCCTCCGGTGTAGTGCCACCATAGCACTCTTCTTCCGTATCGTCTCATTTAAATCAAACATAGATATAATTTATTCCATCGGTCATAAATTAAGAATAAATTAATGCACTAGCTAGGGTTGCC